ATTTCCTATATATATATATATATATATATATATATATATATATATAACATTTCTTAAAATTTCTTTTATCTGTATTATGCAAAAATCAATCATATCCACTACGCTGTCGTTTATTGAGCGCATAAATTTCAGTCGAAAGAAATTGTCGTTCGAAGGATTGAATCAACGTTTCATTCAACTTCTATTGCCTTATTTAACAAATTACAGCTACGTTATTTATGAGTGATCGGAAAAAAGCATGACATATCGTGTAAATTCGTTACAGATCGCGTTGCGACATGAAAAACAAATCTTGCATATCGCTATCATTAACTTGCAAAGCTTGCTTTTCTCGTTTGACAATTGCAGATTCATGTCTTTTCTTGTTTTTTTATATGTTTTGTTATTTTCAGTATTTTGCATTCTATATTCCACGTGTCTACTCGTTATGCATCAACTTTTCATTGATGTGTACATTATTATATTGTGTTTCTTGTTTGTTCTACATCGAGTCGCGAGTGAAGATCATTAATCATCTGATATTACTAAATCGAAAATAACATCGTAAAATAACACCGAAATAGCACCAAAGATGAGATAATTGATAATCTTTATACGTGGAATTTATCTTTTTTTATTACGTAATAATAAATTCATATTTTTATTAAGTTTTCATATGACTAAAGAATATTTAGCAGCATGACGTCTGTAAATGCAATTTTTTAATTTTTATCTGTAATTATATCAGAAATCCACAACTCGTTATCATAAACTAGAATAGAGCCGTTAATTAAAGTCGCGTAATTAGACATCGTCAGGGCAATATAAAACAAAGAAGTTAGACGTTTCTTTGGTTATCAATTTAATGATAAATTGATTATTAATTAAGAAATTGTGGCGGTATATATCGTTGATAGTAAATTCTATAAATTTTCGCTCAATCAAATATAAATTAAATGTCGTTCGAGTCTTCAATGCAATTTCCATTGGGACTGAATTCTCAGAGTTATCTCATCGTGCCGGGTCAAATTATAGATGGCTCTAGTATCTGTTCGGATAATTGGACGCCGTTTTCATTTATACTTAGCGCGAGGCTGTAAATACGTTGGTGATTCTGGTTAGGATCGGCAAATTACGGAGTCTTCCTGCCTTAAAAGCGATCGACTAATGTCCCGCGTAGATTACACTTGCGACCGGAAATGATCGACTACCTAATGGCGGTTCCATGGTAACCACCGACGGTAGTTGTTCATGCGATATCTTCGAGGAAGTGAAGTCATCTCTGCGAGTTCTGCGCTTCGTTAAGCAAAAAGGAATCGTGAATTGCGGTTCTTTTTCGCGTGAAATGCCTCTTATCACTCATGTCTTTTACTTTGATTCAAAATAGACGTTGATTAAATTTATCGTGAATTAGCAGGGAGATTAACCCTTCAATATTGTACGTATTGCGTGAATTGATAGATCACTCAGATCACTATATATATATTTTTTCTAACTGAATTTCTTAAACGTAAAAATAATATTTAAAGTGTGACAAACCTTTTTGTTAAAAAAAGGTATATGTATATATGATTGTGTATAAAAAATTAATTATGCAAGATTTAATTGATATCGCCACAATTTCTTAATTAAAGAGATACGTGGCATGGAGTGACTTACCAAAGAAACAGCAAACGAATACGATGGTGTATAAAGTGATGAAGATTACTTTCACATCGGTCCTGTCGAAGATGTAATCTTCGTTCAACGATACGTTGTAAAGTAGAGTTTCGTTGTTTATGTAGCTTTCGTTGTTACTAATTTCGTAAGGGATCGCATTCCGATCGTTGAGAGTTCTGAAATAAAAAATGAATTTGTACTTAATAATAGTGTATTAGAATATTTCTCTTTTTGTTTTTTTTTTTTTACTATTAACAAATTAAGTCAGAGAAATTGCGAATAGATCAATTAAAATATAATCTATGAAAAAACGTTATATACATTTCAATCTTTTTATTTTAATCAAGAATTAAAAGAAGAAAAATTGCTTTTTTTCCCTTTCTTTTTAATCGATTATTTTATCCCTCATTTCTTTTTGAGGTATATATTACGGTAAAATATTATAAAATATCCAATGTACAAACTCTATGTAATCACGTGGAAAGACGAGTGGTAGTTACCAAGTAAGCGCGGGATGTTAAGTTATTAGACAGAAACTTTCTTTGTTATTTAACAAGTTGCAGACACCGGACGCATCTTGTACGATACTTGTTGCTGGTAAAATATTTATGCATAACGGCACATTGAAATAAAATTGCGCATAACAAAAAGAATTCCAATGCATCAAAATGTTCGGGCATCTTTTGAGAGAGAGAGCAATCGATCATACGCATTCTTTGAACTCAGTTTATCTTAATTATCTTAACAAACGTCAATCAATGTTTAAAACTTTGAAATATTCATTTACTGAATATCGTAATTCTGTCATAGGTTTCTTAAAAAAAATAAAGATACCTAATTTTTATATATTCCGAAACGAAATTTGTTTCTCGTGCTAAACAGTTGTGAAATATTGATATTTTTGTAATAGTTTATTTGAAATAATTAATAATATAGATGTTTACGTCAAAATCTTTTAATTATTATAGTGAAGTCTAATTTTACATTATTAAATAAAATCTCATTTCCCATTTTCTATATTAGATTTTATTATGTGAGTAAATATACATAAAAGGAATGTAAGAATTATCCAGTTTAACGTTTTATTTTAGAAAGATGGAAATTAAAGAAAATTAAGATCAGGTAGCTTGATGACACAGAAGAGATTCGGAAAAAGTCGAGTTTACATGGAAGAAATATTCGCTAGTCAGTTCTTTTTATGCTAATACGATAGAATAAAGATTATTTTTAAAAATGTAGAATTCGAAGTGCCGATGAAATGGCTATCAGAGAGAAAAATATATATCTTTTTTTATATAATTTAAAATTATTTTATAAAATAAATTTATTAAAAATATATTAAAAACATAGAGATGAAAACCAAATTAAAGTAATTTACTTTCTCAATCTTATCCAAATATTTTCTTATTGAAACTAAACTTGAATAATAAGGTAAGAAAATATGGAGCGTTACCTCTACGTAACCTCTTATAAGATTATGTAATGTTACATAACAAACACGAAGTTCTTGTACTGTAAAAAATAATAATTTAATCGTTATTAAAACGATGTCGTTACGACATTCGTGCTTGTGATTATTACGTAACATAAAAGTAAATTAAATAACCTTTTCCTTTATCAAATCTATATACTTCCAGAATTTAAAATTCTTTTTAGAATTGCACAACAAACGGGTGTTTATGACTTTTGATCTCACGATTGCATATATACATGTACTTTAATAAACTCCGAATGCCGAAGAGATGAGAATTTACGGATTTATAGGGATATCCAGAAATGAATTGGAAGATAAAACGTTTTACAGCATCCTGATAAATACTTCGATGTATTTGCAATATATGTATATGCACGTATATGCATCTCTCTCCGTGTTTCGCAACTGACTTTCATAGAATTTAAGTTGCATAGCTGGCGAAATTACACCTATATAATTGACTTCTAATGCGGACCATGACGTGCCACGTGTCGACGAGAAATCCGGAATTTTCACAATTCAATATAGACGGACCTTTAAAGATAAAGGTAAGCGTCACTGTACACTTCATTATTCATTTATTAGTTAATTAACATCACTGAATATAATATATAAAGTACTAATTATGCAATATAAAATATAAAATATTAATTATGGACACATGCAATGTTCTATTAAACTAGATTTTAATTAATGAATCTGTAATTAATTTTTCCATAATAGTGAAAAAATACAATAACATTTTATATTTTGAAATTACACATTACGATACATTAAGAGAGAGTTTTAAAAATAATAAAAAATTAAAGATTTTTTAAATCTCTACTAAATTTTAGAGATGCGTGTACGTAAATAAAAATATATTTTTCTATTACTCTGTTATTTCATAAAAGTTCACAAAAATATTTACTAAACATGGGAAAATGTATAATAAAGATCAACTAGAATACAAATTTTTTTCTCTCGCGTGACCTGTTAAAATTAACAATCTCGAATATTTTTTTTATTCGGATCAAAGATTTAAGAGTACTGGGAATAATGATTTCTCGTCCTATAAAGTACATAACTTTAAATAAAAGATCAGGAGCATAAAAGCGAAAAACAGTATGTGCGAAAACATTCGTATATAATTAGTGAAAATAAATACATAAATTACTAAAAAGTTACATAAATTACTAAAAATTACTAAAAGAATCTAAATAAACAACATTAATAAATGAATTTAATAAACAACCTCGTTTCGACCTTATGTTAAGTCATCCTCAGTGTGATAAAAATTGAAACATAACTTTGAATTTGCGGATGGAATTCGCGGCTGTAGTGCATACAGCACACGTGCATACGAAACGCACATTCATCAAACTCATTCTTTCCTTCTATGTAATACGCAGCTTGACGCACATGTGCCATGTAAAAGAATACGAGCCAACGGTAGCGTAACTGTACTTGTTTCACGTTTATTACGAGTTCACGTGACGTTACGCGGAAAGCGTAACAGAGAGATACGGGGTGACAGGCTACGGTTACAAGGTAAATGCGATCGTTCAATCCTATGAGTATAGCATGGATTGACCGGAAATGAGATTATCACTTCCGAATGCGAGATTGGGGCAAGGGATGCGCGATAGGATGTCGCACGTTAAAATGGGAGAGTTGATAAAGGGCTGAAGTCGATCTGCCAATATGCGGGACGTTGAGCGATGGCACTTTTGTATCTAATAATCGAAACACAGGTGCAAAATAACAGCGATTCTTAATTAGACAGTTTTTATTTAACGAAAGATTTAGGAATATAGCGCGTGTGCTAATCATAGCAATTTTTTATTATACTAAAACAGTACAAAACGCGCTCTTCGCGCACGCCATTTATTTTTTTAATATTATATTTTTTTATATACGTAAAACATTTACATCACATATTATATAATCTTGCTACTAAAAATCTCACCTAATTACTAATGTTGACTAACGTTACTCCGAATTTTTATTTCCAAAATTTAATATTTATTTCTGTTTCTATTTCTGTTTCTATTTTTTTCGTGTGCAAAGCTATATATATCTTATATATACCTTATATATATATATCTTATATATAATTTTGTTATAAACATTGTTAGAAACCTTTATGTTTGAGATAGCGATACAATAGTGCGCAGCCTCGGTACTTTGTTTACAATCGACGAGTATTGTATACGCGTACGCAACGCGTTATTATTCAACCACCAACGCTCGTGCGAGCAGGTGATGTTAGTTAACATTATATTTAATTATATTATTTAATGTTTCATTATCAAAGATGCTATATAATGCTTCGCGGAAATTTTATTGTATTATGTGTTGAATTTCATCTAGCCAAACTATGTTGTTGTTGTTTTAGTTAAGGGTTTACGTGCCACGGCTGATACGTCACGTGTTTACGCGCGCTACCAATGTCTCACCGGTGTTCGTAGGGGTAGGTCGCAATACGCATCGTATTTCTTCGCATTTCTTCAATGCTAAATGATACCACATCGTGTTATATCTTACGAATGTAATAGTAAAAACGCTTCTTAACGCGCGTAATTATGCATATCGAAATCGACGCGTAAGCATATCGAAATGACGAATCTCTAACAAAGTACATTTTTATATACATATTTAACGTGATTTATTCCTTTGATATTCATGAATTTTTATAAAGGATAACCCCTCCTAATGGGTACGGCCTTGACGTGGCAGAGGGGCTCAGTATTCCGAGGGATTCTTTTGGGTTCCCCAACGGAATCCCAAAGACGAAGAAGCTAACAGTACCCGTTGCACCGTTATTAATAACATTAATATTAACATTAGATAATATTATTGTTATTAATAATGTACTAACACAGCGTAGCCACGAGTCGTTCAATGGCTCTTATGTGGCAAATTAATCGATCAGTTTTTTTAATCGACCGTCATTTTTCCGCCGTCGATTTTCAAGTGAATGAACGAACTGCGGCCAGTTCGTCGCGCCGCACGTCTGCTTCGGGAGTGCCGTACAAGTGACCAAACTAAAAGACTTTTATTTAAAATTAGTCCGCGCGCGATTATAATAATTCGCGAGTGTTTTTCGCGAGTGTCCTGTGCTGCGAGGACATCCGACAACCCGACATCTGGAGAGGAGGAGGAGGCCTAGGAGAGGCATCGAGCATCGGCGGAGCAACCTTGCGGTAAATATACATTTTCTTTCTCAACATAAAATTAATCAGTTTCACAGTTTATTTGGATTAATAAATTTCAATAATTTAAAATTTATAGTTCTTTTTCGGGAAACAAAAAAACAGTTTAAAATACTACACGCCTTTATTTCTATAAAGATTTTTATTGAAAATTATTTTATTATTTTAATGAATATTTAATTGAAAAACAAATATGTAGATTCAATATAAGTAAAAACTATTTTGTAAAATACCTATCATTTAGAACACTGTTATAATTTGAATGTTTTGTTTCTGTGTTACAGAATCATCATAGCAGATTTACTCCGCTGTTGCGCATCGGATCGGTGAGTGATACAATTTTTTTAATGGGGTTACAAATCTGTAAAATTTGTTTTAGATTATTTTATTATATATTTATATTTATAAAAGTATTGTTGGATCTTCACAGAGTCGTTGCCCTAAAAGGAATAGACTTAAACAGTTTGAAATATACATATATACATTTAATCCTAGTTTCTCGCAAGAA